ATTAAAACATTCAGTTTTATATCCTCCGTCAAAAGTGAGTCTTGTTTACGGTGTTTGTGGATTGCATTTAAATATCCGCTATGACCGCCACTATACCAATTGACAGTATCAACTTTTTCTTCAGACATCGTACACGAACGAAATAACAATAAGAAAGCCAAAGCAATAATATTCCAATTAATTAATATGACACTATGACAGCAAAATCTTCATTTGTTTTAGGAAGTTATTTCGGTTGCATAAAATTAGGCATCCTTCAAAAGAGTTTTTGTCATTTAAAAGTACATAGAGAAAATCCCGATGTCTACTTCTAAATGAATATCACTGTATGTATACAGGCAATCTAAAAATAAAATATAAATTTGGTGATGCTGAATGCAGTTAAAGCCTAAGACACAATTATAATAGTACCTATAAACACTGAAAATATAATACTTGTGTCACAATTTGGTCATAACACCGCATTATCATACAAAACCATCCCCTGGTCAATGTATTGGGTCCACGAAATTTGCTCTCAGAAATGAGAAATGAATAGAAAAGTGAGATCGAATCTATAGTGCAACGTCTTTGATTAGCGGACTTTTACCGCATGCAGTGCATTTCTGCAGTGGAAATATTCTTTCCCCGTTTCCACACAGGGTAACACATATTATGAAAATTTTGGGGCAACGAGGGCTATTATTAATACATATTATGCATTACAAAAAATAATCAGTCATACTCAAGTAGATACATTGTAACCACTTATTGCTGTGACAGAATCATGAACAAAATCGTAAGCATCGCATCCCCATTTGATATTATTGTGGTTAAAAGCGTGGTTAAATTGAGTAAGGTGCACAACGACGAGGCTTAATCCGTATTACCTCCCCTACGATTACCTGATGAAATTTCCTGCTACTACGCGATAGAAAGTTTACGTTCCACCTACAAGTAAGACCTTTTGTGACAAACGAAGTCTTTATACCGTAGATATAAAAATAAACCGCCTAGGTTCTCACATAATGGAAGCTAAATCAATAATCCCCGTGCAAATTCACTCGTATAAGTTAATTTCAACCCCTCTTTCGGATACGACCCAATTTACTTGGGTACGTCTACGTATTTACTTTGTGAAGATACGTGTGTGTGTAGCACGTCGTAAACTTTTAGATCTCACTCAATACGAAACCGTTACATTTTAGATCCACGTTTGCCTGAAGAGGAACGAAACTGTAAAACTCCTTTGTGAAATTCGGTACATTATAATTATTTCTGGCTCGTTCCGCGAAATAAAAGATATTTCTCGAAACAAAGAAAAAGAAAATTTGCAGCAAACAAGAGCGTCCGTTATCAAATGCCTGCTCCATTTTTTCTCGCACGCCACATTTCCGTATTTGCCCTCCTATACAATTATCAAAATTCGGATTTTTCCCGCTCAAATATTCACTTTAAGCCCTCTCTTTAATAATTAACAATCGTAATTGAAAGAGCACGAGGTTTTAATTTCTTCTTCAAAGAGAATATCATTGGAAAAATGCTGATGTAAGAGCTATGATCAAAGGGCAGAAATAATGGTTTCGTAGCTATACCCCAAAGCAATCGATGTGAAAATGACGACTTCAGTTGGAACAAATGTGGTACATTTTCACAAAGGGTTACGACACTCTCACAATAAAACTCTTTGTGCTGACAGTTAAGACCTTACAGAGCTCCGATTCCTGTTCCCTACGCCTATCCAACCCCTTGTGCGGGTTAGTGTTTGTTTCAGCCTCAATTCGAAATAATTTTACGTTACTACATTCGTAATTGTCATTAACGATTCGAATAGTTTTGAAAATCTATAAAAGAAACTCGAACTTGCCTGTGAATCTGATAAAACTTTCATTTAGCTCTTGAATACTTTAACAACTGTCGTGGAAAACAGAATTTTCTATGAACAAAGGGCAATTTATGAAGTTTGGTTCATTATTAGCCTGTTGCCGTGCTAAATGCTCGAGTTGATAAGTTTAGGGTTGGACCTCTTTAGACTTGGCCTGCGTATAAAATTGTGCAAGATCCTCACGTATGTTTCAACAGAATAGCCAAACTAAAAGAATTATTTCTGTATTATTTGAACTACAAATGTTCTCCAAATACTTAATAAATTCAAATGTTCTAGAGATTCATTGCATTACAATGCAAAATTCAATTCTGTTGAATGTCAATTTTAATCCCTCTATGAAAAGGGTCCTTTAGATGGAACTAAACACGTTGTTTTAGTCTACTTAGTACTAAATTTAATCAAAGTAGCAGTCTGCTCAGTTTCGCTTTACTTATAACATGACAATAAATTAAACTGGTATAGTTTAACATGAGGGTTTTTGAACTATTATGGAAGCAACTGACGATTTAACAAATAATGGAATGCGTCAATAAAAATAGCTGGTAGGTACTTTTCAACAAAATCAAACAACGAAACAGAAACTTGCCATCTTTAGCTATTTATGGTTTTCCATTAAAGTTAGCGAAATCCTTCTTTTTGTCGAAAAAATAACACCCACCACTTACTGAACGAGGTTGTACAAAATAAAATCAGGAAATAATATACAAAAAACCACGTAGCTTTATGGCGTTTTGCGATTTCATAAGAGAAGATCTTTAGGCAGCAAAGGAGAAATTAGGTCGTGTATTAAATGAGTAAAACAGAATAAAGTTAAGACTTGTAGGTGGTTAAGGAGAAAAATACCCCTCGCTTTATTACACATGCCTCATTTAAATTCTGCAAACTTTAAACAAATTATAAAGTTTAATCTCTTCACTACGTTGTGTTTTGGGTTAGATTTTAGTACGTGCTGATGAAAGATACTATACCAGCTCAAAACGGTAGAATACTGCTACACGGTCGCTCTACACTTACAAAGTTCAGAAGTTTTAGATCCACTAAAAACGCAACGGAGCTACTTTCAGGTGGTTTTCAGGTAAACAAAAATTAACATGCTGTTTTTGAATCAAGGTGGATTATAACAAAAGTTATTCTTTGTAAAGGCCCTTGTCCTTTGCATTTTGATTAGGGCCTTTCCGTACACAATGAAAGATTAATTGCTTAATACTGTCACTATCATTACGACTGACTGTAAGCGAGCTTAGCAGTTTGTGAGTAATTCTATTCACATTACTTGGCACATAGATTTATCGATTTTAGAGCATTGGGAACTCGAATGATTAAGGTTACGTTATTTACCTCGTTATTTACCTTAGCTAACTCATGATCGTGGGGTTAGTGAAAGTATCTCCTCTGTAGGTGGACTAACGGAACGACTTCCCTCCAAAATGTTTGTGAGGAGACGAAGTAGCATTCACTAGTTCAAAGCAATACGTGGAGATGGGAGGATCAAGTATTAAACGGAATACAAATGATTTGAAAAAAATGATGGTCTGGTTTACGCAGCACTATCCTTTTACTGACGTTACAGACATCTTATCTCTTACCATTCGTGTTGTAGGTGCAATAACTGTCACATGACCAAGGAGATTGGACTTCTCGCAGTTGATAGAATTCGAATTGTAGGCGGTGATTGCTAAATTCTACAGGAAAAACAGTTTTGTCACTGCTACGATGAAAAAGGGAATCAAAATAAGTGATGAAACCACCCCCATCAATCAATGCTTTTCAAAGAATAACAATAAACAATATGATGAGGAATTCTTACAATACGAACTGTGACATTTTGACCTACCGTATTGTGCCGTGTGAACAGCCTCAAAATCTCTAACTTCACAACGAAATTTCGAAAAAATATAAATGCAAATTTAGCGCTACCGTGCCAGTTTCGCGGTAAGCTACTGGAGACAGTATGTTATGTGCAAGCACATTGGAAATCCGGAAGGTACCTTAAGGAGATTGGGCGTAGGTTCATCTTTTAAAAATGATGCAAGAATTCCCCGGTTACACATAAAGATGTTCGCCTATTTCCTAGAAAATCAGCCAGCCAGAGAACTGCGGCGCTTGCTACCACCGCGTTGAACAAAGCGATTTTTTATGCGAAATTGGTTTCAGAGATGCTGCAAACATTGTGTGGCAATAATAAGCGCAATAATGCTAACAGAGAATGCAACAATCTTACAAACATTCGGCATCATTTTGTACGCGATTTCATTAGGCAATAGAAATTTGTGCTGCGGCAGACGACTAAGTCGCGGACTTTCCTATACAAAAGATCAAGCGAGAGCGAAGCATCTGTGGTGCAAAAATGGTGGAAGTTGCTGGTTTCCTAAATGAGGAGAGGTTTTACAGCTTAGAATGACTTAATTTTACTAATTAATTTTTCTGAACATACCGAAGTAGGTACGTGAAAGTATAAATAAAACAGAAAAGGTGCTCTACTGTTTCTTTCTGGATATCTAAATTCTGTTCAGGGTTCGTGCTGAGGTAAATAAAAATAAATGTAATTGCTTAGTTTTAAATTGCATTTTACGCCATGAAGCGAATTTAAAATTGAAAGGCATTTACCACAAGCCGAATTCTATTCATAAAATAAGCCTCTTATCTTTCATCCCTGTAAGTCTACCGAACATCTATATTGACGTCATCCCTTATTCCGATCCTAGACACGTACGGAGGTAAAGTGAAAACCCCATGTTTTCCCAAACCCACACTGAGACACCTCGCATCCGTTTTATTCGACATAATTCCAAGAGTGTGTCGCAAAAATTCCCGCTGTAAATATTTACGGTTCTAAAAATTTCGCTTGGATTAGTATTTAAACAATGATTATACTACAGTATTTACTATTTTGTTGTATTTCTTGCCGAGTTTATAGTTATATTTTAAGGCGCTTACAACAACCGAGCGTTCTCCCTTCGAAAATTGCGTCGAGTACGCTTCAGTTATGGATTTGGTTTAATCGATTTACAGCACGAAGCACAACTAAAAGGAAGAGACTTTTTGTATCTGTCAATCACACCACGGTAAAATTTGCTCGTGATCGGAAAATATATGTGTAGAAGGTCTAAATGTCATCTCAGAAAGCACTCACCTGAGAAACATGTTCATTCCAGTAGACTCCATGGCCCTGCTAATTCCTTTCCAAGACGCCACAATGGTATACTTCTGTCTCGCGGTTAGTGGTAGACGTGGATCGGTCGGGGCAGGCGGTGGGGGCTCTTCGGTTTTAAGCCCGGCTCCGCCAGTGCTACTGGCCGCCAATTTTCCCAACTTACACCCCATTTTACACCTTAAAGTAACGTATGCACGCGTGAAATTAATGTTCTAATTGAACACGCCGGTTATACCGCAGCATTTTACAGTGCGCCAGTATCGTACTAACCGAAATTACAAGATCACTACCGACCCGATCTACTTTCATATTTTAGCACACTTAAATTTGTGGACAGTGTACACAAACGTGCATTGTGCCAATCTCAGCCACTAGTTCGAAATTCCGCACCTGAAACAAACCCAAATGTCATACGTAAATAAACGCATTTTTACACTGTTTGAAAATTTCTTATTAACGAACATTATGTGAGAGAGAAATTAAGTGTTAGAAACGTTATTTCCTGTACGTAAATTTAGCCATCTTCATACAAATCATTGTTTATTATATACAAGAAACCAATCGTTTGAAACATAGCCAAATGTTGCAATGATTAGAAACCACACTGACATAACCAAATAAACAGTTCGTGCATGCAATTTCGTTTGCACATGTTGCTAAGGTACATGCATCTGCTGTACGGAATGTAAAAGCTTCCCTAAAGATTGCAAACTTTACTCCATTACAAATTTAATATACCTACACTGAGATTCCCTCGGACGTGAATTCCCCTATGCATCCTCTTAAATGGATCACATCAACGGATCATTAGGGAATTTATGTATCTTGCATTCAACGTTTATTGAGAATATGATATCTAGTGCAATTTGTAAGTGCCAAAACGGCCGTAAAGGAAAAGAAAATGTTTAGTGTGAATGTGAAAGTAGAGTACGCCTACGAGGACGGGATGATGATATTTTACTTATCAACATAATCTCCCGAACGTTGCATTTCTGCCAACGATGTTCCAAGGCATTATTCCTTCGCGACAATAGTTTTCTTCTAACTCTGCAAAATAAGTGGTAACTACATCTTCAACCTCTTCATCAGTGGAAAATCTTTGAGCGCACAAGAATTTGTTTAGGTCTCGGAATAGATATGGAAGTCAGACGGCGTTAAATTGATGAGTCGTACATCAACTGTTGAAGTTTAGAGGTGGCAAGATCGCTGATCAAAGTGTATTATGCTCTTTTTGAAGCGAAAATGAGATACGGAATCCTACTGTGGGGAAATACCAATAAAAATTTAATTAGCGACATTTTCAAAACTCAAAAACGGGCGCTTCGGACAATATTCTCGCTACAGCGAAGGGAAACCTGTAAGCCGTACTTTCAACAGTTCCGCATTCCTACTCTGTATAGTTTGTATATTATTGAATCTTTGTGTTATGTTTTTAAAAATAAGGCATTATTCTCCTTTAATTCCGATTACCGCAAATATAATACAAGATCAAAAAATAATTTTGCAATAACCGCCTCCAAAAGTAAAGTGTATGACACATCACATCTACAAATGGGTCTACGATTTTACAATGCTCTCCCTAGAAATATCAAATCTATATCGGCGTTCGTCCCATTTAAAAATAAAATTCGGAAAATACTTAACACAATGGCACCATATTCACTGGAAGACTTCTTCACAAATATCGCAATTTATTAACTGTACTTTTTATCGAAATTTTTATATACATTTAATATTGTTATGTTGTTGTTTGTTTAATTTATATCATAGTCTATTTAAATTTTATCTTTACATTTAATATTGTTATGTTGTTGTTTGTTTGATCTATATTATAGTCTATTTACATTTTATCTTTATACATTTATATGAAGTTGTAATTGTTCCAATGTTATACCACAAAAGTGGTTCAATAAACGATCTCTCTCTCATATGGGGTCGGGAATTGTCGTGATTGCGAATTATTTGCTTCCTCAATAAACCAGGTCATAATTCTTGAATTTTGTGATTTAATTTTGTTAAAAGGTTGGCATAATATTCACCTAACGCATTCTTCACCTTTACGAAAAAATTACAAAGAATAAATCAGAAAATTACATTCTTGTTTCACAATCTACCAACGAACAAAAGGGTAAACAAATGAAACATATGACCCCTGAAAAAACAACACCCTATAAATTTTCACTACCATTGACACGACCAAATTATCTAACTCTACAGCATAACCTATATTTCCAATTTGAGCGAAATATCTCAAGAACTGCAGGTGATATAAAAACAAATTAAACAATTTTGAAACTTTAACACCCTGTATATCGACAACGAAGCATTTGTGGACCTATATTTATAAGAACTTTTAGTCATAAAATAAGCCAAATAACTAGCCCCTTCCGTACTTTCATCACATTTAGAATCCGACCATAAGGTAGGTGCGCTCATATTATTTGTGTAATTTTGGGTGTTTACTGCTGCAATTATTTTAGAATGAATTTTTTTCAGAAGTATTTATTGCATCTACAGTTGGAACTCATCGTTTCCATATTTAATTAGTTACCATAATAAAGAAGTTTAATATTATATCGTGTAAACTACCCAAAATTGCGAATGAGCCGAATACATTTGACAGTAATTGTCGAATTTTTTATGGGGAAAAAATGGTACTCAATACAATATGTACTTTTTTTCGGTTCATGTAAAAATATGTAGTTGATGATGGTTTTTCAGAGACCAAACGTCGCACATTAGTCCTAAATTTCTAATTTAACCGACTCTATTTCTTATGGTTTCCGATTTCCTAATGCTAATTCTTATCTTAGACACACTGTATAGTGCAGTATATCCGGGTGTAGTGCAGGTTCAATGGGCTCCGTTAACTTAGCACNGTTTATTATATACAAGAAACCAATCGTTTGAAACATAGACAAATGTTGCAATGATTAGAAACCACACTGACATAACCAAATAAACAGTTCGTGCATGCAATTTCGTTTGCACATGTTGCTAAAGGCCGCTTTACATACTGCAATTCTTTGTGCAATACAGTTGCAGCAAGTTTAATTGCAAAAATACTGTACATGCAATAATTATTGCACTTTGGTTTTACACGCGGCAATTTTCTTTTTGCAATAGTTTGTTACCAACATTCGCATTTAAAATTGAACTAAAAGCTTTATTCTATTCAAAATTCATCAGGTGTTGTTATAATTCTGAATGCGTTTTGAGTAAAAATGAATAGACACTTTAATCGAAAAAAGGCAGTCGCAGCTTCAATTTGTGTAGTAATAGTAGTAATAATAACAAAGTCTAGTTTCTACGTTTGGGAATTCTAGAACCTGGCGTTGTCAATACTTTCCCCCAAAATATCACGTGCAAGTGCAATAAAAATCGCGCGCGACCGCTAACCTGCAATTGCAAGTGAATTGCCAAAATGAATCAGCTGTTTCTCAAACGCGCATGCTTCTGGGCAAGTTTTATTGCGTATTGCATGGTCTTGCATGAAGAATTGCAGTATGTAAAGCGGCCTTAAGGTACATGCATCTGCTGTACGGAATGTAAAAGCTTCCCTAAAGATTGCAAACTTTACTCCATTACAAATTTAATATACCTACACTGAGATTCCCTCGGACGTGAATTCCCCTATGCATCCTCTTAAATGGATCACATTAACGGATCATTAGGGAATTTATGTATCTTGCATTCAACGTTTATTGAGAATATGATATCTAGTGCAATTTGTAAGTGCCAAAACGGCCGTAAAGGAAAAGAAAATGTTTAGTGTGAATGTGAAAGTAGAGTACGCCTACGAGGACGGGATGATGATATTTTACTTATCAACATAATCTCCCGAACTTTGCATTTCTGCCAACGATGTTCCAAGGCATTATTCCTTCGCGACAATAGTTTTCTTCTAACTCTGCAAAATAAGTGGTAACTACATCTTCAACCTCTTCATCAGTGGAAAATCTTTGAGCGCACAAGAATTTGTTTAGGTCTCGGAATAGATATGGAAGTCAGACGGCGTTAAATTGATGAGTCGTACATCAACTGTTGAAGTTTAGAGGTGGCAAGATCGCTGATCAAAGTGTATTATGCTCTTTTTGAAGCGAAAATGAGATACGGAATCCTACTGTGGGGAAATACCAATAAAAATTTAATTAGCGACATTTTCAAAACTCAAAAACGGGCGCTTCGGACAATATTCTCGCTACAGCGAAGGGAAACCTGTAAGCCGTACTTTCAACAGTTCCGCATTCCTACTCTGTATAGTTTGTATATTATTGAATCTTTGTGTTATGTTTTTAAAAATAAGGCATTATTCTCCTTTAATTCCGATTACCACAAATATAATACAAGATCAAAAAATAATTTTGCAATAACCGCCTCCAAAAGTAAAGTGTATGACACATCACATCTACAAATGGGTCTACGATTTTACAATGCTCTCCCTAGAAATATCAAATCTATATCGGCATTCGTCCCATTTAAAAATAAAATTCGGAAAATACTTAACACAATGGCACCATATTCACTGGAAGACTTCTTCACAAATATCGCAATTTATTAACTGTACTTTTTATCGAAATTTTTATATACATTTAATATTGTTATGTTGTTGTTTGTTTAATTTATATCATAGTCTATTTAAATTTTATCTTTACATTTAATATTGTTATGTTGTTGTTTGTTTGATCTATATTATAGTCTATTTACATTTTATCTTTATACATTTATATGAAGTTGTAATTGTTCCAATGTTATACCACAAAAGTGGTTCAATAAACGATCTCTCTCTCATATGGGGTCGGGCATTGTCGTGATTGAGAATTATTTGCTTCCTCAATAAACCAGGTCATAATTCTTGAATTTTGTGATTTAATTTTGTTAAAAGGTTGGCATAATATTCACCTAACGCATTCTTCACCTTTACGAAAAAATTACAAAGAATAAATCAGAAAATTACATTCTTGTTTCACAATCTACCAACGAACAAAAGGGTAAACAAATGAAACATATGACCCCTGAAAAAACAACACCCTATAAATTTTCACTACCATTGACACGACCAAATTATCTAACTCTACAGCATAACCTATATTTCCAATTTGAGCGAAATATCTCAAGAACTGCAGGAGATATAAAAACAAATTAAACAATTTTGAAACTTTAACACCCTGTATATCGACAACGAAGCATTTGTGGACCTATATTTATAAGAACTTTTAGTCATAAAATAAGCCAAATAATTAGCCCCTTCCGTACTTTCATCACATTTAGAATCCGACCATAAGGTAGGTGCGCTCATATTATTTGTGTAATTTTGGGTGTTTACTGCTGCAATTATTTTAGAATGAATTTTTTTCAGAAGTATTTATTGCATCTACAGTTGGAACTCA